CCGAAGCGTCCCAGCTTCCTGCACGCCTTCAGCTGATAGACTTGTTGCAGCCGAAGCGTCCCAGCTTCCTGCACGCCTTCAGCTGATGGAGCTGTGTGCTCTGACAGGCGTCGACTCCATGGCTGTTAATGGGAGGAGGTTTTTGTACGGCGCCTCTATAGGATTGTATCACCGTGCCCCCTGTCCCCACAGTGAGAATGCATCACACAAAAACCTTGTGTCTCTCTGCCTCCCCCTCCCAGCTCCTCCATATCTCAGCCTCCATCTTGGGGAGTGTGGGCGCAGCTGTGCAGGTCGGGCCGACTGACGGCTGAAACACACCAACCTGACTTCTGCTATTTCTGTCACCGCCAAGAAAAGAACGGAAGCTGCCTTTAGGTTTTGTTTCTTTGTAGATGCTCACAGGAAGTGACATCACTGCTGGTCACAACTCTTCATCCAGTCACTGGAGACCAACATGCACCGAAACGTAACAATGATGGGAGTTCCTTAAAATGATTCTTGTGACGTTTAATGTGGCTCTAATCAAACAAAGGATAAAAATGATTTAAAACTTCCTGCTGATAAAAATAACACATTGAGTTATTATATGTATTATATATTATAATTATATTTTATTATAATTTGTTATTATTATATTATAGTCATTATTTAAGTTTAATACACCATATTATTTTACATTGTTGTGTAGCATATACCTTAGATCCTTGTATAGCGTTTTTTTAATACTTTATTTTTTTGATATTTTTGGCTGTAACTGGGACCTGGCGTTCATAATTTTGTTCCACCTCATGTACCACATGTGATGCAAATGACAATAAAGAACTTTGTAGTTGTTAATCTATAGCACAAATATTTTATAGAAAATTGGAATAAAGAAAATGTCACAAACAGTCATTTCATCTGAATTTAGTGTTTTTATTGTAACAAACCTTTTTGCATGGTTTATAAAACATGTTATATAGACTTAAGAGTTAACAAATTATTTGCCTCAGTACTGTTAAAATAATGTCTGAGTATAAGGAGACGCATTTTATTTTATTTTTTTACAAACTGAAGAAGTCTTTCACATCAAAATGAAGCCTCTGAGAGATTTTTTTTTTTTTGTTATGATCTACCACAGCAACATAAGAGTTTTAAATTAACTTAAATATTTCTTAAATAAGGAAAATGCGGCATGGTGACTCAGTGGGTAGAGCTGCTGCCTCTCAGCGAGAAGGTCGCCAGTTCAAATCCCAGCGGGCGCCTTTCTGGGAGGAGTTTGCATGTTCTCTCTGTGCTGCGTGGGTTTTCTCTGGGTACTCCAGTTTCCTCCCACAGACAAAAACATGCATGTTAGGCTGATTTGTCAATCAAATGTTACAGGCAAAATGGCCGCTCATCTGTAGTAAACGGCCATTTTGCCTGTAACATTTGATTGTTATGCACTAATGATTGTTTTACACTGATGGTCCTCCTTGCATGTGTAAAGTCAGTTTCTGTGAATTGCACATCAGACTGGTTTGAAACACGTCAACGATGTGCTGTTTATGACAGATCCTGGTGGCAGGCCTCAGACTGATGAAGTCCTTCAGATGAAATACAAAACGTTTCTTCCAAAAAGAAACTGTCCAGATGACATGATTTAATGTTTCAAGATTGTTGAAACCCTTAATTTGTTGAGATTTACCTGGATCTAATGGTTGCTGTATTATTCACAAACAACAAAAGAAAAAGGGTTGGGAAATGGTTTAACATTTACAGTCACAGATATTGCTTTAAAATGAGGTACTTTTCACTTACTTATATCCATACTCCACCTTTAGGGGATGATTATGATGATTAAAAAAAAATAAAAATAAAATTCTATGCTTCTTTTATGATTGTCTGTTGTTGTTGTTGTTGTTGTTGTTGTCATCACTCTTTGTTTAAATCAGGTCTCTCTTGTAAATGAGTCCCCGAGGCTCGATGAGATGAACCTGTCTAAATAAAGGTTGAATAATTATAATTCTTATCTCAGTTAGTGAATACTCCATTACTTTAAGATTGAAGTGTCATTTATGAGCTAATCGTCCTAATGTTAATCCCCGTGATGTGCATGGAACGTGTGCGCCCCCACATATCATCCTGTCTTCACCGTATCATTCAAATGAATGACTTCCTGTTTTTTGTTTAAGTTACAGTTTCAGAGCGTTCTACCAAGCCCATGATGTCTGTCTGTCTGTCTGTATGTATGTAAATGTATGTAAAGTCAAAAAACATGTGTCATGTGTGCAATGCCTCAGCCTTTCTCTGGCGCTCTGCTTCATTCATTAACAAGAACAATGTCGTCCATGTAAGCAGTGATGGGCAGCCGGC